TCAAGAATTTTTGGTTTTTGCTTGGCAATGCCTATTTGCATAAATGCTACTTGAAATCATCTCAAGGATACTTTAAACATATAAATTAGTTACCTGATCAATTGATTTAAAGCATCAAATTAAAGAATGTTTGAAAGAATTATCAAATATGATACCCTTGGCCAGTCATTACCGTTATGATAAAATTTTTCTCATGCTAAAAAAAAAAAAGAAAATTCTGTAAAATTCATACAACTGAAGCTAAAAATCAGGAGTCTATTTAAAAATATGAACCCTACTAAATCTTAAAAAAATTAAAATAAAAATAATAATAAAATTGTACCCCAAAACATTTAAAATTTTCATAATAAAAATACGTTCATCTTTCAGCTTCAGCACAATATATGAGTGCAGGAGAGGGAAAAGGGTGCACTCATTTTTTTAGTAAGTTATTGATTATTTATCTGATTCAGCCCTTTTGATTTATAGCATTTCAGGTATTGAATATATCCGATATCGATAATATCGATATTGGATATATTTAATGCCAAAATACTATAAATCAAAAGGGCTGAATCGAATAAATAATTAATAATTTACTAAAAAAACAAATATGACCTTTTCTCTCTCCCGCACTCATATAATATTATATATCTTAAATAAATTATATAAATGATTATTGTTAAATTTCTTTTAAAATCACATCTATATTCGTCGTGTATCTATATATGTAATTCTATGGGTAAGTATTTAAACAGATCATAAGCAAGTATGTGAATACATATCTTGTATATATATATTGCATGTAATATGTTGAATAAGAATAAGCTTGCTGAAAGGCTTCAAAAGGTCAATAATAGGGTAATTGGTGATACATTAGCAATGCTAAAAAAAAAGTAAAAGAACTTGCTTGGCAATTAAAGTTGTGCATTGGCATCTTTCCTAGTGTAGCAAATATTTTGTAAAGTACATGTGAAGAATCTATAAAGGGAATAAATCTTAAATAATTGTATTAAAATACTGTATTTTATAAATCTTTTCTGTGTATCTTCTTCGTCTGTAATGCAGATAAATATTTTGTAAAAATAAATAGCATGTAAAAAGACTGTAGATATTAAAAGTTTACTTGCATTGTGGTAAATATTGATATAGTTCTCAGATTTGATAGAGAATAAAAAAAAAATAAATAAATAAAAAACAGTTAGTTCAAATTTGCATTAAGCAAAATCAAATACATTAAATAAAATAAATATAACTTCTAAAAACCTAATATCTGAAATTTATAAACAAATGCTTCTTTGTATTTCGAATTGTGAACTTGTTCAAACTAATCAGTAAAATGCCAATATCAATATTGTTAGACGAACATATTATTAAAATCAAGGAAAAACTTAACAAATAGAATTATAAATTTTACTGCGTGGCGTGTATTGAAGCATTGGGCGAGGTTGAAGAAAAAAAATCATTTTTTTTTAACAAACCAATAGAATTGTCCAGCATCTCAAAAAATATGCGCATTTTAATAAAAAAATGATATCAGAACAAAGAAAAGAAATTTTCAATTTATCTGATGACCAAAACAACCAACCAAGTAGAAATATAATATTCATTTGATGCTGCCAAAGGAAAATCTATAATCGGGCATTCAATTATATTTTATCCCCTAAGTGCCGTCTAGAAAAATCTATTATCAGGTTTAAAATTATATTTTGTGATGAGTTGAATTATGGATTTTTTCTAGACAGTATTTAGAGGACAAACCATATACAAATAAAATAGAGAGCCTGATCATAGGTTTTCTCTTGGCAGAACTCATTAGTTTTAATATATAATAATATATATATGTTTCTTTATAGATTCTTTTGACTCATCCTCTAATATTACAAATACATCTCTACAACCCCTGAAAAATTATACGATCCTCTATATACGAACCAATTGACAACTATATTGCTAGAGAGTTAACTCAGCAAGATAATGATAAATTCAAAATTCTATTATTGAGATTAACAATATCTTGCAGATGGGCCTTCTATTGGGTTAATAAACTGGAGGCTAAAGAGCTTTTTGAATTTTTAAACCCTCACCTTAAACTTCCAGAGCATTGGACCCTCAGTAGAAAAGTTTTGGATGCTGCTGTTGCTGAAGAAAATAAAGCAATGTATGATGCACTTTGTAAAGATAAAATAGATGTTACTTTGACCTTTGATAGGTGGACTAACGTAAATAATGAACAACTCCTAGGAGTAATGATTATTACTTCTAAGGAGAAACCTTATATATGGA